AACAACAACAAAAACTCTCTTCAAACTTTATTTAAGTACATGTACTATATATTATTTGACAATCAGCATGAAATTTTGATAACCCAACTGAGTATTGAAATATTATCTTTAGTCCTGATACACGTTTCATTCAAGAGAAAACTTAATTGATGCTTTCAGAAGGCAGTAATACCGCACATAAGTGTTTGCCTTTAAAATCATTCTCCTTTGTACCTAAGAAACTAGTGAAGACAAAACATATTTGATAATTTACATAAATATACTATCAAATTAAACATAAAATAATTACAAAAAAATGCTAACACTGTAGATGCACGTGAGCACGTGGCCCACTTCTTATGTTAACTATTTAATACGATTAATTCATTACCTGTCTAAATTGAAGAATGTAATGAAGCATACTTATTGTTTAAAACGAACATTTTTGGCTTGCAATTAGTCATTGGATGGGAAAAATCCTAACCTAATTGTCAGGGATGGGGTAATTGATAAAAGTAATTGTAATTGAGTGTAATTAATTACATTTTTCAAGTAATTGGAAGTAATTTGTAATTGACCATTTTTTCAATTACTTGTAATTGAATAAAATTAATTACAATGAACAAAATACCCTGTAATTTCAATCACTTTTCAATTACATTTTAATTACTTTACAGAATACATATTATGCATACTTGATAGGAAAATATTTCCAACACAGTCACATTTTATAGGCACTTTAATTTACTAGTATTCAAAGAAGCCCTTTTCTTTTTCAAAATCTTAAACTCTTTTATATCTCAATAAATGAATTTGATATATTGGCTTGTTTATAAAAATATTAGTTTGTTTTATAATTATAATGCACATGCACATAAAGAATTAATACTAGTTTCATGTTTTTCAAAAATTTTGTTCTACCTCTCATTGGTATAGGCATGAAACATTTCAATTTTTTGTTGCTTGATTATCAAAAAAGAACAGAAAATAATTGAATGTGTCATTAGGACCTTCCTTGTTGCCCTTCAACTCCCACTTGTAAATTGCTATCAAAACAACCCACCAAAATGTTTTATAATTTTATACCATGCTTTGTTTAAATTCAAAGAATGACCATTAGAGGTGATTTATTAAATACTATTAAGAACTCTCCTATTTATATACTTCAGAAAAGAAAGAAATATTGAATCACTATTTTAACATTTAAACACATCTTTATATACATATATGCATTTGGTACCTGAAATAGTTATTACATAAAACAAGTATTATTTGTCAACATTTGTAATTTAAGGTGTTTAGCTTGCCTACCTGTAGCTGAAATAATTTGAGAGTTTTCTTATGGTTGATTCATAAATTCTTGAAAACTCGCTTTTAATTAAATTTCATAAAGGCAGTCAATTAATTGATAAATGTACATGTAGGACTAGGTCTTATTTTGATGAAACACACAAACATGACAGGCATCTGACATTATTTATTTTAAATATATTCTTTAAATCTTTATTAAACAACTTTAAGCCATACGGCCCATCAGTATACACAAAATTAACATAATTATGCACGCATAGCGAGAGTCTACGGGGGTGGAACCCCTAGTGTCCATCTGTCCAACTCCTCAACACCAACAATTACAGTAAGCATTAAACTTTCCATTATACATGAAAAATATGTATACATAATATACATATAAATTAAATTATTCATCATTTCTTAATATCATTGCATGAAAAATAAATTTCCCTAATCCAACTAAAACACCAACATCATAAGAGCTGAGTAACTGAGTAAGCTTGTACATATTTGGAGATCTGAAATAATATGGTTTAATATATTTTCTTCTTAAAGAATCATAAACAGGACATTCAAGCAAAAAATGATATTCATCTTCGATACGGTGATCATTACAAAATTGACATATTCTATTACTTCTTTCTATTTTCTGATATCTTCCTATTTTTATACTTAAGCTATGGGAAGAAAGCCTTATTCTAGTAATATACTTCTTTAACTTAGAATGAATAGGTTTTGTCAAATATGCATGGATTTTGGAAAAATTGTCACACACAATGTGCTTATACAAGAAACACTTTGTTGAATTTTCAAAAAAGGCATTACAGTCTTGAAGGTAGATATCCAACAGTCTTTCCTTACATAAAGATATAAACTGTATTGAATTAATAAAATCAATCTTGATTGATCCAAAAATTCCCAAGTCCCATTCTAAACAACTCATCTTTAACATCCCTTGCCCAGTTAAGTTTGGAGTGTAATTTATTTTCAGCATTATACAATAAATATTCATAAGAAGATTTAATATACAGTTATTTGTACTAAGTAATTTACACCAGTATTTCATAATTCTTATTTTCCTGGTTATGATTAATGGATAACGGCCTAATTCACAATAAACCATACAACTACAAGTAGATCTTTTAACTCCTAGTAGGTTTTTACAAAACATAAGATGAATGCGCTCTATTTCAGGTGATTTGTGGAAGCCCCAAATTTCACACCCATAATTTAAAACACTTAATATATATGTATCAAATAATTGACAATGCGTTTCTGCATTAAATTCAAACATTTGGATATTTCGATTTAGTCCAAAAAGTGCTTTTCGCCCCTGATCTGCCAGCTTTTTTTTGTGTAGAACAGTGTAAGTCCTAAATAATTGAAAGACTCGACACACTCAAGGATTTCCCCATTATATGTCCATGAAGAATTTACTGTTCCACTGTTTCGGAATACCATTATCTTTGTTTTGATGCATTTGCGGAAAGGTCCCATGTAGAAACATAACGATACAAGGAATCGAGCATTGTTTGCAACTCCTCGGACGAATTTGCAAATATAACCGTATCATCTGCAAACATTAAAATGAATAAATTAAGTTCTCGCAGGTCCACTGATGGCGAATTTTCACTGATGAAATGGTTTTCCAGGTCATTCACATACATGTTGAATAGGATTGGTGATAACACTTCTCCTTGCATTAAACCACTTTTAACACTAAACATATCAGATACCTGGCCAACATGTTTTACAAAGGCTCGTACGTCTGAATACAATGATTGAATAATCCGAATGAGTTTTCCCGTAACCCCTAATTTGATGAGCTTGTACCACAACTTCTCCCGATTAATTGTGTCGAACGCTTTTTTGCAAATATTCCCCCTACCTAAAATTTACAAGTATTTGTTCTTCAAGATTTTTGAAAGTGAAACGAAAGTAATTGAAATGTATTTAATTACATTCATCAAACTAATTGAGAGTAATAAATTATATTTGTAAAAATCAATGTAATTGTAATTGCAAGTATTTGACAAAATTTTCAATGTATTTGAAAGTATTTAATTACATTTAATTTCAAAGTACATGTAATTGACCCCAACCCTGCTAATTGTAGACCCACAGTACATATGTACATCACTAATCGTGTTCTAAACGATGATTTGTGTAAGATTTGTTGGAACGTGTTTTTTTTAAGAATTATGTTTTAGCCCATAAATTAACTTTTCATATGAATATGTATTCAAAAAACCTTACTACATAACGCATATCTACAGATTACCATTTAAATTTTTGTTGAAAATATTGCAATGCATATCGCAACACATTTTAAAATATCGCAATATCGCAGTACAAAATCTTTAGCCAATATCCAGCCCTAGTATAGAATTGTTGCGGGATGTGTTACTCAGTTAATCTTTAAAAAAGTAGAGGGATATAAATAAAGTTGAACATGAATATTAAATTTGACATCGTGTCACTTATATACATGAATTTATCTAATACAGACAAGGAATGCCAAAAAACATTTACAAGAAAGGTTTTTGTTTGTTTGTTTTTGTATGGTTTTGTTTGTTTGTTTTTTTGTGGTTATAGCTATTGCCTCGTTTCCTTGTTAAAGATGAAAAATCCTTCACAATCAGACAGGAATTACAACTCTTGGTCATAACAAATAAACAATTAAATATTAATTATCATTTACTCATGTTACATTGTATTTTATAACGCGTTCTTTATTAAAAGTTGATTAAGAAAAATATGGAGTACTAGCTTTGTGTAGGGAATACATCTATAATGTAAAGTGAGAGATAAAAACTTCTTACAGGGAAAGGAACGATCACTCCTATACTGTCCTTGTAACACCCAGGTAAATTGTATAAGGTGACTTCTAAGCCGAGATAAAGTATACCCAAAAATATAATTGAGGTATATCCTTTCCAGATCCGTGATTCATAATCGTTAATGACCGATCCTATTTTGTATTCAACAATTTGCCTTGTATATTTTTTACTGTATATTCTACAATTGTCTATTTTTATTGTACATGTACACATGTTGGATTTTTCTACTGGATTATTTTCCATTAGTAAATTCTTTTTTATTTGAGCATATTTTCTACTTGTATTCAATTACATGTTATATCTATCGTTTTAAATAAGGCCAAACAAAAAAATATGTGTGGTTCCGGTTACACTTCCAAAAAAATTAGGGTAGGTAGGTAGGGATTTTTTTTTTTTTTTTTTTAAATTTTTTTTTTTTAACAAATTGATTTTCTTAATTTTTTCTAAATAATACCTATCAATGCTTTGCAAATGGCATTTAGATGTGGTGTGATAATATACTAGTCAATATTGGTAGGGGACACCTACATGCTAGCTTGCTTTGGATTTAACACTATTAAACACTTGCACTATGTTTTGCAAGGAGGCCGTCATTGCTGAAACTAAAACTTAAACTGGAGCCATTGATGGAAATCGGGGGAAATTCCGGAAAAAATATGGAAATTGCCAAAAAAAAGTTTAGGGTCTGGGGTATAAAATAGGGAAGGTCGGGTAACCGGAACCACACATATTTTTTTATTTGGCCTAATTGCTTTTTTTTTTTTTTTTTAAATAAATCATTCATTATGTTGGATAATTTTCATTTGTTTTCTATTAAAACTATTCGTATTCCTTAATGTGATGGATATTAAAATTTAATTGCATACCCCTCCCTAATTATTTGAATTTGATAATATATATGCAGATTAATTTTACATAAAAAGGATCTGACAACTAGATTTTTTTTCTTGTATGCTAGTGGAACAGATGGACGTTAGTCACATTCTTGAAGATATCGAAATTTTCTGATTGTTCCAGAATTCAAAAATCCCACCCAGACGTTGTGCATAGCATCAACATCAACAGCAGTAGGGCAACCGTACTTATTTACTTCTATGTGTGCCAGAAACACGCCATCCTCGTTGATAATGTGAATCTTCTTATTATCATAGTCACAAATCAGAATGTTCTTTAGAATATCTGTCACTACTCCCCAGGGACTTTCCAAGGAGTTTGAGGGGTTTCCTGTATAGCTAAATCTGTATCTTCTCGAACTGTCTACCACAACTACAGACGCATATTTATATGAGTTGTTTGTCACTATCACATCGCCATTCTTGTTTTCTGTTATAAAGTGTGGACTTGGAAATGGTCCCATTTGCTGTGCAGTGTATTGAATATGTTGAAGGACTAAGCCATCCTCACTGTACCTCGTGACTCGAGCTGTGGATCCTTGTGTCATTCCAACAAGGATATCGCCATTCAAACGACTTTTGTAGACACTGAATAACTCCCAGTTGTTAACAGTAATGAAATCTTTTATTTTTCCCTTTCTGTCTGATAAGTATATATTATGTTTATTTGGTCCAATATATAGAATTCCTTGTTCTGTGAGTGTATGAATGCCATCTCCACAAGAAACAGTTTGGATCGTGTGTAATTTTGGCCCTTGCATGCCTGTCTGTCCTAGACATCCAGACCCATCATTGATCCAGAATGTATTTTCGTCTTGGAAAGCAAGATGGTGTATAGCTTTAACTCTGGACACATCAAAATAACCAATTTCTTCAAAAGTCCTGGCTATTTCAAAATTAGGACAAATCCTAGCATTTTCAACAAGGCGATGCAGATCAGATGTACCGGGTAAAGGTATTGGCGGCTTTTCAACAACATCCCCAAAAAATTTCTCAATCTGCTCCTTGGAGACAGGACACGGCGTGAACGATGGAGATGGATTGTGATACATGTCCTTGAGTGACTGTAAGTGGTTTATTTGTAATTTTTCTTTGTGTTTTATTATAAACTCGGCTTTTTTGTCTGTTCTCCTTAGAACTTCAAAATCTTCGATGATGGAATTCAGACCGTTGGTGTATGTCTTCAACTCTTTTTCATGAGATTGCAATTCCCTCGTAAGACTGTCTTCAATTTTACTTAACTTCTCCGTTTTCTCTTTAAGTATTAAGTCTACCAGATCCTTAATTGATTTGGCGGTAGCTAATAAATCTGATCGAATTCGTGAGAGTGATTTCCTACACTTTTCCATTTCTTTGCTTATATTCTTTTGAACATCCTCGCACTGTGGAATTATTTTTTCTTTTAACTCTTGTATTTGCTTGTTAAATACTTTAAGCTTCTCATTGAAAATCTCTTCGATTTCTACAATGGCGTGACACGAATGACTTTCCTTTATACATTTCATACAAACAGGTAGTTCGCATTCTTTGCAGCAGGCGTCATATATTTTGTCGCTGTGGGTGTAGCACCTTTCCTGTACTTTTTCTTTTCTTTCTTTGTAGAGAACAACGTCATGGTTTTCTGTTTTCTTCTTTCGTTGATGGGTCTCTTTGCAGGTCTGACACAAGTCAAATTGACAAGTGTTGCAGTGGTACTCAGCATTGCTATCGCATGTTGTACATTCCACGTAGTGCTGAGCAAACCCCGAAGCCATTCCTTTATCTCACGTTTAATCAGCTTCTTGAATAATAGAATAAAATTTACACATGAAAAGCTTTGTTAAATAGATAATCACTCAAAAAAATCTTTAAGAGCAAGATCTGAACTCGAAACTAACTTAGAATGGTAATTGCTTGATATGCTACATAATAAATTTGGGCAAGAAAATAGAAGATTGACATTTTCGAAGGAATGTGCAAGATTATGTGATTCTAGTTAGAATGAACGAGTAATGTTATTTTTAATAACCAATAGTAAGAAAACATTAATCATAAGGATGGTGAAAAGGAAAGCTGTAAAATTCTTCTAGGAAAGAAACAGTTACTATTAATATTAGTCCAAGTTAAAGGGAAGACTAAAGAAAATAATGAATGATACTTGATCTTCATTAATTACTTGACATGCACTTTATAAGGGGAAATGTATGTTCAGATACGTATGCTCAGATAGTGTGAAATTTTTTCTAAGAAAATAAATATTAAAGCTAAAATATAACTGTTACAATCAAGTTTATTCTACCTTTAAAAATTTGTTTCTATATAAATCTATACATACTTTAAAAAGTCTAACATTTCCAATGTTTTACTAAGCGGTCATAAAAAATCGATGTTTGACTCTGGAGTGAGATATTGTACCTGTCGATGAGATATTGGACGCTTACGTCACACAGAGGGCAGGATCAGCATAATCTCATTTGCATTCGTTGGTGTTCGACAGTGACGGGAATTAACCGAGTTAAACCTCAGTGCTGGTAAAGGAAATTTACGTCAAGGAAGCCAGTACAAGATACATGCATGTCAAAAAAATTATAATAAAATAAAAGATAAAACAAAACATTTATTAACTATGTTCTCGGGCAAAATGCGTTTTATCGACCCTCGAACCAACCGATTGCCTTCGTCCTAACCATGCTAACAGCCTCAGGCAAACAGTTTGGTTCTTGGATCCGACAATTAACGCATGTTACCCAGTCAATAAATGTATAGTATAAAACATCTTTCACTGAGAAGTGAAAATCAAAGCCTGATAACTGTATTCAAAATCTACCTCTTGATGTGGATTATAAACTGACAATGGTCTCCAATGAGAAGAAAAAGTCAATTTGAATTACATGTAAATTGTTTGGTATTCTACTAGTTATTTTGCTTACATGTCATTAGGGTCTTAATACCACTGGCGGATTTAAGGGGGGGGGCGTGGGGGGCGCACGCCCCCCCTAAAATTTTCAAAAGTATGACAGGACTAATATTAATAATTTCCATTCTTTGGTTTTATAATTATTGGTCAATTAAAAAATGGTAATTTTACTTAATGACAAAGTATCGGTTTTCTTAAAAATCAAGTCTGAAAACCTTGCATTCCCTAGGCTATGAATATTATTTCATAATTATTCAAACCGGAAAACGTCTCCCGATTTCGTTTGAAGGGTAGACTGCACTTATCAATTTCCTATCATGATGCAAGGTAAAATACTGCAATATTTAAAGGCTGATCGAAGGTAAATAAATGAATTTTAAAATCAGACGGTCTACGTTACAAACCCGTCCACTGATTGATGTATTTATTTATCAAATGGTGTAACTATGCAGTAATTTACTTACATTAGTTACATAGATACAAGACTTTTTTCATTACTCACATATCTTTCCATGCATATAAATGGAATTTAACGTCAGGATATAGGTTAGGATGGTGTAACTTCGACCACCTGGTTAATTTTGACCGTTCATAAATACCTTAAAATAATTTGTTTATAACCCATTATAGTGTACACACATCTATTTTATGCAGAAAGAAAATGCATTTTTCATATACAAATCAATGTCGATAATAATAGGCAAAATTTATTTCTTCACTGGAAAATTACATCCAAGAAGAAACTTTATCGCCCGAAAAATTACGGACGAGTATTTTTAAACCATTCCGGGGAATTATCAGTTTATCACCTCTGAAAATATCTTGTCTATATAGAAAGACACAGTGGATATTCCTGGCGTGAAATTTATCAACTATGTTTAATTTTGCAACTTAAATTCATACCTTTTTAATGTATAATATTTAGTTTTTACAAATAAAATGCAAATCAGCTGAACAGAAATCGGCCGAAGTTACCCATGCATGAATACGGCGTCAGCGGGTAACTCAGTTCGACCAATGAAAATGATGCAATGCTATTTGTTACCAGAAAAAAAAAATCATGACCACCGTCCGTATAAAAAAAGTTATTAGGATAAGTATTATGTACAAGAATACTCCGTAGAAACTAGTTCTGTAACAGTGAAAAAAAATCATCTGCTCTGTTTACATGCGGTTTAGATGCCTGCGCATATACAGTACATGTATATACATTTGTTAGCATACTTTGACAAATCGGTAAATCAGTCTCTAGGCACCATGACCTGGTGCACTTAATGTCTTCAAATTAGGTACATTTTGAAAATTACTTTTTATGTCAGCATTTTTTCACCATCTTTTAAGTTGTACAACAGAATAATTTAAATTAATATATATATATTTTTAAATTAGAGATGACGCGAATAATTTAGTTTATATTTGCGCATCGATCGAAAATACCTCGTGTGCGGTCGAAGTTACCCAACACACATATCTTGTTGTTTTTTTTTGTTGTTTTTTTTTTTTGTTTTTTGTTTTGGTTTGTGTGTGTGTGTGTGTTTTTCTTTTAAAAAGTGAAATATCATAGTGTACATAACTAATCAATACCACTATTTTTGTGCCTGGTTTTACTCTTAAAATTCACGAAAATCCAGGAGCTTCCGGGGGCTTTGCCCCCTGGGCCCCCACCAGGGCTTTGCCCTGGACCCACTGGGGGCCTTAAGGCGGCCCCCAGACCCCCTGCCTGAACAAAGTTATCCACGCCCCCCTAATCACAAATCCTGTATCCGCCCATGAATACTTTCCATACTTACCCGTACATTTTACAACTCTTAGCTTAAAATTTGATTTTTTTTTAGTAAACTAGCATAAAGTCGTTTTAATTTATACAGTAATACAATTGAATAAGTTACTCGTATCTCCCCAGTAAAGAAAATTGTTCGTTCGTTAAAAGAAAGGACATATGTGGAAACACTTTAAACTGAAAGTAGGAAAAGGTATGGCCAAAGTTCCGCCTTTATGAATTAAATTGCAATTTATTACCAATCATTATTAACTGTACTTGTAGAAATTTTAAAAATATTCAATTAAAAGATAAAATTTGTCTTACCTTTTACTATAGACGCCCTAAAATATGGCTCCCTTAAATCTTTCTTACTCTATTGACCCACTTCATAACTTCCGGGTCATTTTGTTGCATACGGGGTGGTTAAGTCTTTTTTAAAAAATCAAATTCGACATAAAATATATTTAAGATGGAAAAAATATGCATTGTTCGAGCCGAGAGAGTGCTATATACTGTATTACGAGAAAGGGAAAATGACTGACAGTACTGAGATTTTTGATAATTTATTCAACTCTTTTTTCATAAGAATGCAATTTATGCATAAAACTTTTATCACTAGCATTTCCACTTCTCTTGCAGTAATAAATCTACAAGATCTTTCATTAAACGGTGGCAAATTTGCACAAATTCCCGTCATTCATTTGCGTTTGAAGACGGGTGTTACTAAAACGCGGAACGGAAAACGGAAAGGAAAGCGGAACGGAAAATATGATAGTTTAAAGCCTTGAAAATACACATGTATATAAAGGATGATGTGACATAACTGCTATCTGGGGCCCCTTTTTCTACGACGAATCATATTTAATCTACAACGATTTTGATAGTTTTCAAACATGAGTGAATAAATACAACGCCTTTTGAATAGTTTATATAGTTCCGAGACATTTTTAATTATAAGGATTACTGCATTTTCTGATTTTTTAGACCCTATGACAGCAAAATTCGGCCTGGTTTGTGACAATATGTTCTTTTATGAAAATAGAATAGGCGGGTCTTAGTACAATAGAGGGATATGCATGTCCGAGGAATCTACCTTATATGACTATTGTAAGTTATTATTTCGCACATAGCCGCTTACCGAGAACAATTGTCCAATCCGATGACAGAACGACGAAACATGCTGGTTTACTACAAGTTTACATTTTATCACAGACACGTGGCTTAGGTCAATTTACACATTATCTCTACTACATTTCAAACTTTTAATGGTCAGCCAAGGATATTTATACATAATAATACGCATGGAACCTAAGTTTTTGGTCAAGAAATGCACATGAAACTTCTATTCACTGATTCTCGGGAATACGTGTAGACCTAGTGAATTGCCCATCAAACGCTTTACAAACTTTGAACTATGTATATTTATAAAATCAATTGTTTGTAATGTGAGCTGGGAAATTGTAGATCCGTGTCTAATTTGTGACTCAAATGCATAAAAAATTGTTTATCGGAAAGCAGGTAAAAAAAACAACATTTTTTCCAAGCATAAAATATCCATAGTATTTTTGTGGTACTCACTAGTAATGCAACTCATTTAGCTGATTGGTCAGTTAGAAAGTATCGCCAGTGCCTCGATTTGCATATGAATTAATTCTTACGTCAGAAAAAATACTTTCTTCGATCTGGTCATAATGGGAAAGGCCAGCTAGATTTTACAATTTTTTAAAAACAACATGTGAGCGCAGTTAGGTACATTTTTCTCCTTTCACATATAGGTAGATTTCAATAAAATACAGTGACCAGCCAAAGGAGAAAAATGTACCTACTTGCACTCGTATATTTTAAGGGCTTCAAAGAGTGGGGTGGGGCCAAAATTCAATGGGAATTGGATGTAAACATGGTACCCATACTCAAAATAAAGACATATATCTTCCAAATTATGTTTCTATTTTCGGTAAAAGTAGTATTTTATGAGGGTAAACATGTCAGTGATTAAGTGCATGCAAAAATTAGAGTAAAATTTATATATTTAAATTTTTGTCAATTTACCGGGGGCCGTATGTCACATCATCCTTTATTATAGCACAAACGATAAATATTATAT